ATAAAATGGGAACGAGACCTAAACAACACATTCCCCCTACCCATGTGGTTACAGGCAATCCAAAACACGCGTGCCTCATCGCACAGCCTATCACATTGGGAGAGCTTCAGTAAATTACTGATGAGATGGTATCTTGTTCCATCCCGCCTGGCCCAAATATACCCTACTGTTCCACGACAATGTTGGAGATGTGGAACCGAGGTGGGCACCTTGCTCCACATCTTTTGGGAGTGCACGATGCTAACTCAATTTTGGCAACAGGTTAGCAACTTAATACAAGTAATTACAGGGAACACCATCCCGCTTCGCCCAGAATGCTATCTTTTACACATTCACGCAGGAACACTGGTCTCGCCACACAAGGTGGTTACCTACCATATACTGCTAGCCGCCAAGACTAGTATAGCTAGTAGATGGAAAAACCAAGATCCCCCCAACATTCAGGAGGTGAAACAGAGAGTCCACACGACATACGAACATGAACGTCTCGCATTCCGGATGCGCTCCAAGGTAAACAAACACACAAAACTTTGGGAAAGCTGGTGTCAACACGTTCCAGTAAATAGAGGGCCAAGAGCAGAGGGAGGGCCATCTCGCTCAGTGACACAAACACTCTAGATGAAAGCATTCGAGACCATCCAATACCCATGTAGACGTGCACACAGCGCCCCATTTTGAGGGCCCTCAGTTGATGGGAAGGGAGAGGTGCCCTTCACGCTTCGTAAGCCACTCAGGTCAGGCAGGCGAACCCCCCAAGTACTCCCTTAACACTCACGGCAGCCTCCATCGAAATTGGTAAATTCTAGACCCAATCAGTACCTTATGTTGGAATGTAATTGATGTTAGTTATATTACCCTCCGTATGCTGTCAACTGTACTAAATCCTCGTAATGTAACAGAAGATTATGTCAACACATTGTTATCCCTCCCCCTTTTTCCTTTCTGTACCCCCCTTACTTGTTGAAAGTGCGTTATCGCACAAAATCAATAAAAATTAAGACATTTAAAAAAAAACTCAGGCCCCCTACACCAAAGGGCTGATGCTGCCTGGTTCATCCCTCCCACCTCTCCCCTTATACATATTACTATTACAGGTGGGCCCTCGTTTATTACAGGCCTACCCGATACGTCGGTTTCGGCACACCACAACCCACTTGCTCATATATCTAACTTATCATGTATACGGCTTTTGTCCCCGACTACAAATAATAAATTTGAGGTGACCACACCGCAACTATATGTGTGTTGCTACATAAAGTGCTAAATATATGTTACAATTGCAATGTTTATTACAAGCAACACACTGACTCCATTTGTTTCATGCAAGTATCTATGTAGCTTCTTCTATAGCCATATCTTTAAGAGCTTGTTATAATTACTATTTTAATTAATCAGCGATGTGCTGTTCTATTGTTTCACACTGATCAATCACAACATTAAAACCACTGACAGGTGAAGTGTGTAATAGTAATTTATTGTTGCAATGACACCTGTCAAGAGGTGGGATATATTGGGCAGCAAGTGAATAGTCAGTTCTTGAATTTCATGTGTTGGAAGCAGGAAAAATGGTCAAGCGAAAATATCTAAAGTGACTTTGACCACATAGTGATGGCTAGCCAACTGGGTCAGATCATCTCCAAAAGTCTTGTGTAGTATGCCTAAAGTGGTGCAAGGAAGGACAATCGGTGAATCGGCATTGAGGTAATTTGCGCCCAAGGCTCATTGACGCATGTGGGGAGCAAAGGCTATCCCGTATGGTCTGATGACACAGAAGAGCAAATGTAGCGCAAATTGCTGAAAAACTGTGTGCTGTCAGTGTGCAATTGGAGACCCCTATAAATCATTGAAAGCACCTTGAATGTCATATGTGGGGATGGGCGTCAGAACTGGACTGTGGAGCAATGGAAAACAAATGAATCACATTTTCTTTCAGATCAGGTGGATGTTGAGTGCATGCATGACATTTATCTGGGGAAGAGATAGCAGCAGGATGCACTATGGGAAGAAGGCAGACCAGTGCAGGCAGTGTTATGCTCTGGGAAATGTTCTGCTCGGTAACCTTGGGTCCTGGCACCCATGTGGATGTTACTTTGACACAGACCACACGGCCTCCCCATCCTCTGTGCTGAGAATTCCTGGTACAGTATAGAACCATCTACTTTCAGTTCAAAGGTCACTAACACAAACTACCTGAACTCCAAACAAACAAGCTGGTCTTGTCCTAGTGATGCCTATGTAAGTATTCATTAACCTCATTTGAGGAAGAAAAAAAAAAAAAAAACCAGTCCTCCCTCGAAGCTCATGGGGCACTGCCACATCCGGCCCAACCGCGGCTTTTCCTGTTGCTGTTTGCGTATTTTTTTTCAACAAAACCGTAAGTTTGTTTGCTTTGCAACGCTATCACTGACATTCCACACATATTCAGCCCACATTTGTCCTTTCACTAACTAGGGTGGCATTAGCATTTCAGTCCATATTCCTTCCTCACACGTACATGGCGAATTTCACTACTAACGCAAATACGGCTTATTTCAATCACAGCATCACAGAAATAGCTCAATTCGGTTCATGCATCATGCTTACCATATTCGAACATATCGTATTTTATAATATGCAATTTAGTCACCTATACGTTTTTTATAATAAATTCTATGCCATATTCCGTTTTCATATTTGTAGCTTATTCATTTCAGCCCAGATGGCCTCGGTTATACTCGGCATTTGTTACTTATGTTCACCAGGCCTCAGTCCCTATATGTATTTTTCCTGGTTGCCCTCTTAGTATTCAGGCACTCAGGGGCCTACACTGTTTGATACGTATGTGGCAAAGTGTTGCAACTGACTGGCTAAATTTATGTCAGGCCCACCTACACATGTGTTCAGCATTTATGGTACAGCCTGTTAATAGTCTGTCAATACTTACATTGTTTTAGCCCTTTCAGGGCTTAGTTAATAGTTCTTTAAAATTATGTTGGTCATAATTATGTCTGTTATATGGTTATACGGCCATATACGTGGCCCTCATGCAAATGTTATAGTCGCATCTCAATCAAGACATACCATGAACCAGGTCTGGCACTCGGGTGTGATCAGTAATCAGTTATTTTATTGGGGGGGGATTATATTTACAGCCCTGTCCCCCGCAGACAGTGTCCAGCGTATAAGAGAAGATGGAGTCGTTCATCGGCAAAGGTGGATTCCCCCACTGACCAACGATTCTCCTGTTATTTTAGATTGGGTTTGCAGCCATTATCAAGGACAACTGGTTCTGTGACACATGGCCCGCAGAGACATGAAGCCTACTCTTTTAGTAACCTTCAGCTCTCGTTGCACTATACTCCATCGCAGCCACTGCACAGGCCTGGGAGTCTCTATGGGGGAGAAATTCTGTCAATTACTACTCAAACACAGCAGTATGCAAAGTTACTTGGCTAGTAGCAACACAGCAGTTTTACCTTGTCTGCATGAATATACCAGCCTGTCGCAACATAACAGCTGAAGCCGTGTCTTAGTCCCATTTCAGGTTTTCGTCGAAACATTCCACGGCTGCTTAACCACATACTATATATTTATACACCAGAACTCTGGACCTTTTAATAAGATCACTTCAGAATATCGAATCGTCAATCCGTACTCCATCAATACCATGGTGACATTCACATCCTTTTGCCACCTCAACCTTAAATTAGCTAACAAACACTTAAACATATCTCATACCCACCTGCAGACATATACCAACATACTATCAACAAGAAATGGTGCCAGGTCAACATACTAGACCAATACTAGACCTTGTTCCAACACTCACAGGACTACACAGGCATACGCTCTCTTTCAAGGTTACATCAAATTAATCCTGTATGTCAAGACACATTTCATAAAACTCTGATACGAGTTTGATCCCTTAGCAATGTCACACACGATCCCGGTTTCAGTGGGCTCCTGCTACTATTACTGTTGTAAACAAAAGGGGAGTTCTAAAACCAAAATGTCACAAGCTGCACGGCAGGCAATATACTGTCAACCTGTTTTATTAAAGGACCACTATAGTGCACCCTCAGGATCCCACTCCCATGGCGCTGAAGGTGTTAATCCCTTACCTCTTTTCCAGTGCCGGGCTCCCTCGTCACTGGGACTCTCCTCCCTCTTCTTCAGTCATCGGCTGAATACGAATGCACGGCAAGAGCCACGCGCGAACATTCAGCCAGTCTCATACGAAAGCAATCTCAATTCTTTCCTATGGACGCTGGTGTCTTCTCACTGTGAAAATCAGTGAGAAACGCTTCTAGCAGCTATCAATGAGAGCCACTAGAGGCTGGATTAACCCATAGGTAAACTGCTATGTTTACAACAAAAGGGGTTGAACCTAGATGGACCTGGCACCCAGACCACTTCATTAAGCTGAAGTGGTCTGGGTGCCTATAGTGGTCCTTTAAACCATTGTATATAAAAAGGTAGAGTCGCATGACAAATTACTAGAGGTTATGCCCATGAACAGAATACAAGTATAGAATGCCATGTCTTGGAGGAGGCACTTCCAATTGTATTCTGCAACCAAGCACTGAAATTTCAGTGATAATGAGTATGCATAATGTGATATTTAATGTAGAATTGTGGGCAAGCATTTCATTGTTGCCAAGTTCACTGTTAGACAGTCCACATGAAACCCAAAGAATATACATTTTTCTATTTTGTCCATGCAGCAATGATAATCACATTATACAGATGTATTTGTCTTTGTCACTATCGTGAACTACCAAAATTCATATTTTTCCAGGTATGTTACAGTTTCGGACCGTTTACGTAGCTCAGGTGAGTCAGTTTTGAAATTTGTTGAAAACCCAACTGGAGCAGTGGTGTCAACATAATCCATTTTAACCTACACCAAGACATCCAATAAATGTTTAATGCAGTTAAATTAATAGCTTCAGTAGAGTAGGCTTCATGTCTCTGCTTTAAAAAAAAAAAATATTCACCAAAATAAACTTCACAGTCAAACATTCAGATCTGGATCAATGTTTATTAGAGACCATAAAAATATTCAATAGCATAAATTTCATATATAAAAAAAGTTAAAACAATGCCAATAACCATCCTACATGGAACTTTCTCCTTACTTACCTGGAACTTCAAAAACCAGAAGTGGAATTCAGTTTTTGTATTAAAGAAATCTTAAACAGGGAGGATAGGAAAAAGTACAAATTAAGAGACAAAAAAAAAAACCTGTGCTCTTATACATTTTGTTAATTATACAGGCTTAAGTCAATACATTTGATTAGTTAGCGTTCTGCTGATAAATGTTACATCAATGTCTCCATTGTAAGCTGAACAAAAACTCTCCATACACACAACATATTGCTTTAAAAAAAATGTGTATCCTGCATGGTTTGTCTCCCCAGTCACTGCCCAAAGGCTCTAGGAAGTTTTAGGAATATACAGGACGCTGTCCACACCAGACCAAAGGGCCCGGGGACACGCATGCTCTACAACGTTGTGGAAGGGGAATATACGTCACAGCGCCTGAAGACACTACGCTCCCATACGCCACCTGGGCAGAGCCCATGAGAGCAACCTCACAGGATACCCACGTTGATATACAGAACAGTACACTACATATTGAATACTTACACTTGAAAAGGTTTAAAAATTCACTAAGTAATGTCACAAAGGTGATGTGCAAAAGGATTCAAATCTACACTAAGCTTGTAGTTGCTTAAGGCCAAATTTGATAAAAATGAGGAGAGTAGGGCTGTGTGTAAATGAATTGCTGCAGTGTTATGGCTGCTGTCAGTTTTTATAGCAAGTTATAAAATAAGTCAAATTTTCCCCCGTTTCCCTTTAAGGGAATAATTTATTGACAGGAAGAGAAGGGACCTACCAAAAACATATTTTATCTGCACGCCACAAAATAGCAACCACAGCCCACACCCATTGCTAGTGCTGGTATATACATACAAATCTGGTGTCATTGAGGTCTGCCTTGGGGAAGGTTCCATAAATACGGCAGATCAATGAAGACCGCAGAAGAGGCGAAGGGTCAAGTGCTTCCATGTTCATTTTGAAGCAGATCAAAATAGAAACAATTAAATGACAAAAATCCACAAGAAATTAATCTGCAGAACATGTCAAAGGTTGAAATAAGCTGCAGCCCGGGCATCAGTTGAATCAGACACCAACAACTTCAAATAGTCTTGCAAAACAGCACTATGCCATGAGGATTAGAACAAAAAAAATTAAACAAACCACACAAATGTAACAAGGAATATTTTTTATTATATCATTTCGCACTTTACAGCTGGAACTCTGGGAATTCAAAAACCACATCTTTGCCTGTGAGTTTCTTGTAGACACCAGAAAATGTTTCAACCTGAAGGAGGAAAATCAGAACCCACAGATTAATTTGGAGGCCTCAATCTTGTAAAACTGAAGGAAAATGAGCGATAAACCTTATTTTTCAAGCTAGTATAAGTCTTCATAAAAAAATAAAAATATGACACATTTGTCAATGTTTTAAAACGCACCTCTTATTTAAGAGAAATATTTATAGAAACTATGATAACTTTTTAGGGTTTAGAGAATACATTGAATTATATGAAACAACATAGTATTGTATCCTGCATGGTTTGTCTCCCCAGTCACTGCCCGAGGGCTCTAGGAAGTTGTAGGAATATACAGGAAGCTGTCCACACCAGACCAAAGGACCGGGGACACACATACTCTCCAACGTTGTGGAAGGGGAATATATGTCACAGCACGCAAAGGTACTACACTCCCATACGCCACCTGGACAGAGCCCATGAGAGCAACCTCACGGGATGCCCACGTTGGTTAATCACAAGACAAATCACTCAACGGAATTCAAAACGTTAACTGGTATGCAAGAGAAGCATGGTCTTACTATAAAACTATTCATGGTTTCAGAACATTACCAATTTGTAGAATTCTCAAGTAGAAACAATGAATTTAAACTACTACCTTGTGTTCAACATTATTCTGTTGTGCTTTGTCCAAATGGACCTTGATAAGCCGGCTGCCGTCCAATTTTACACGGATTCTCTTGCCCACAATTTCACTTGGGAACACCAGATCTTCTAAGATGGCATCATGTACAGCAGTCAAGGTGCGACTAAAGTAAGAAAGGGTGATATTCGTCTTTTTTGTAAATAAGCACTAGACATGAGACAGGAGACATTTATTAAATAAACCCACAAAATGAATAGGGTAAGAAATATGGAACCAATCTAATTTACAGCTGACTGCTGCACTTTTAACACTTTGAAAGTTTGATCTGAAAACATACAATAAGCACATTTTAATTGTAAACAAAAGCAATGGCATTTAGATATCAAGGGAACTAATTAATGGCAGAGAAGAACTACTGGATTTTTTTCTACACAGGAAGAAAGGCAGAATTTAGGACTTTTAGCCCTCTGGTAAGTATATTCATTGACTAGAACTGCAGCAAAGAATTTACCTTTTCCTGAGAGTGGAAAAAAGGGCACAGGAAAGGATGTTCAAGTTGGAGGGTGTATTTGTACTGCAATCCAACATCATGCATATGTGTTGGCAGATGAGAATACACAACTGAACACCTGAATTATAAATGCTTCATGACCTCAAAAGGTGTGAATTTTCTAATCGCCTGACACCAGAGGCAGATTTCTTTGTGAATTTGATCCCTGCCACAGAATTCCCTTGCAGTCTGGCATGCGCTCTAATAAGTGCACAGCCACCAATATTCCCAGCCTGCTACCTGACTCCAAACCACAAGCTAAGGTATGCAGCCATATCCATCATGACAATGGGCTGTAGTGGTTATAGTACTTGGCATGTTCCATTAAGGTTTTCCTTTCCTATCAGAATGTAAACTAGTGTTTTCTTCAAGCAAGCCTAGCAACATGGCATTTCACCATATAGACAAAACAGACAAGAGGCAGTGCAATTTATATGTGATGAGATGCTGTATGGGCCAGTCATTAAGATTAAAATGAAAAAATCTAATACTAGTGCATGGATTACATCTCCTACAGAGACACACTGACAGATATTGTGAATATATATATATATATATATATATATATATATATATATATATATATATATATATATATATATATATATATATATATATATATATATATATACACACACACACACACACACATATATACACACATATATACACACACACTGTTTTACAGGTGCTTACTCACTACTATACTTTTTTTCAATAATTCCCTCTTGCAGCAGGCCCCAAGAACGTATTTTTCAAGCTTTTCCTAGCTCGAAAAAGACTTTAGGTCGAAACGTTGCTGGACATTTGGGTTCAATAACTTTGCCTATTCATAACCTTTGAGTGCCTGGACAGTTCTTTCCACAAACTATATTTAGGGGCTCAGCACTGGCCCCTGGTCTGTGTTTATGTTAGAGTGCAGTTTCTGGTTTGGCTTTTGCAAAAGATGTAAAAAACATGGAATGTCATATGGCCTTATGTCTTTAATTTTAGAACAAAAGAGGGGATGGCCTGAGAGATTATACAAAAATCCAGGGAGCAGATAAGGGGGTAACCCTAAGGTAATAAGATACAAAAAAAAAAAAAAAAAAGGAGGAGAGAAAGGAATCTGTCCCTATACTATTAATTTGATAAAAATCACGAGGATACTTTATTTCAAAAAGGAAAGACACAATGAATAGATTAAGTGTAACTGTCTAACTCAGACAGAAATATATGTGCAGGAACATATGGACACGGGGTATGGGGAGTGGAAATACGACACAAGGAAATATATATATTTCACAAAAATATAAAGAAATGATTTGGAGTAAAGCTCATGTCAGCAGTCTCCAAAATCATGGTATAAAAGAACAAACATACAAGCTTAGCTACTAGAGACTCTAAACTCTAAAGGGAGAAAGGAAACTAAAGCAGAAAAGATCACCGACTAGGTAAATATAGGGTACGGTGTAAATGTCCGTTGAGGTCAAAACAATCTAAAATATAATCAAGTGTAAGCCAAACTGGCTCTGATGTGCAAAAAGAATAGCTGAATGAACCTGTTAGATATGTTTCACAAGTTTGTCATTGATCGAAACAATGTATACAGTGAAAGATAGTAGCACATCATTTCGAATGAGAATCTTACCGGATGGCGGTATTAGAACAATATACACTAGGAGCAAAGGACCTAGAAACTAGTCCGATGCAGACAGAGTCTAGTGAAATTGTACTACTAAGTAAGAAAGCTGAGTCTGCCTGTTAGATGTATATCACAAATTAGTCAGTGATAGAACCAATGCATATAGTAACAAATTGTGACACGTCGTTTCAAATAAAAGTCTTAACGGAAGACAGTGTTAAATCAGTACACACTGAAAACAGCAGACCTGGAAAACCGGTCCGATGTAGACAGAGTCTGGCTAAATCGTACTGCTAAACAGAGATTGAGCCGTATATAAAGAGAGCGCCTAATAGAAGCAGATAGGATAGAGGGAATGAGAATAGTGTCTTCGTGGACACTAATAATAGTAAAGTTCAAAGAGAGTCAATATAGAGAAAGTGAGAGGCTCTAGAATTGCTACAAAATATAAGATGTAGCAACCGATCGCTAAGCTATGTGAATTACCCTGATCGGTATTTTACTTCTCATGCACTCAAGATAGGCTCATAGTCAGCCAGCTCTCAAGGAGTCCCCCAAATGATCACTAGGTTATTAAAAGGTCTATCGTCCAAACCTCAGAGCGAATATCATCAAGGGAAAACTACTTTCCACAGGTCTTGTGCGGGGGGATGCACACATGAAGTGCCAGGGAGAAAGGTCGGAACAATATCACAACCCGACGCGCGTTTCGCCTGGTTTAGAGGCTCGTCTAACTGCTTTAGTTTCCTTTCTCCTTTTAGAGTTTAGAGTCTCTAGTAGCTAAGCTTGTATTGTTTGTTCTTTTAGACCATGATTTTGGAGACTGCTGACATGATTTCTTTAGATTTTTGTGAATTATATATTTCCTTGTGTCGTTTTTCCACTCCCCCTACCCCGTGTCCATAATTTTAGAACAATAATCACTAACATGTATTTTAACAGACCTGTATTCTTTACCTAGCAAAGATAAGTACAGGTTAATGATGCATATGAACACTAAGAAAGCCAATAGGTGGCAGCTTGGAATGTCAATGGTAGTCTTTAAATGTTTAAGATTTAGTTAGTACGCATAATGTATCCTGCATGGTTTGTCTCCCCAGTCACTGCCCAAAGGCACTGGAAAGTTGTAGGAATATACAGGACGCTGTCCACACCAGACCAAGGGCCCGGGGACATGCATGCTCTCCAACGTTGTGGAAGGGGAATATACGTCACAGCGCCCGAAGACACTACGCTCCCATACGCCACCTGGGCAGAGCCCATGAGAGCAACCTCATGGGATACCCACATTGGTTAAGAAACAGTCACAATTACAAATAATGTGTGTCTACAGAAACTAGCATGCTAACCATCAGTAGGACGCTCAGCTTGTATCAAACCACTCCAGAATTTCCAGATTATACATGTGTACTTGAAGGGGCCATCTAAGGCTGTACTTTGTGTATCCAGCATCCATAAACTCCCAAATATTTAGTGTGGTATTTCACAAAGCCTAATGCTGCACGAGAATGGTTTGATAGTACATAACCATGACAACTGCCATATGTCCACTAACGCTTGCATAAATGTACAGATGAATACTTTAACTGACAGGTATCTCCATGCCATATTTGCTGGATCACTATATTTTAAAAACAACTGCTAGAGTGGTTTGAAGAATGGGATGAGGATAAACGTCGAGGGCAGCAATGCATGCACAATTTAACATCCTTTAAAAAAAAAAAAAACGCAAATGTCCACACATCCCAACAAGCCATTATCCAGTTTGATTTGCAGATGGGTAAAGAGATTTCCTCACCTTCTGGGGCGCTTCTGCTTGTTTTTCGTGCGGCTTTTTCTGGTTGGCTTGGGCAGAATCCTTCTCTGTCAGAAAAATGAGAATATTTCACACCTGAATATTTTTTTACTGGGGGAGGGGAGCTTGTTTCTTTTGAAGCAGTAATGGGATTTAAATATCCAATTTGAAGTGATGGTGAGGTCTTCTTTCTATCATTTGTACTACAAATACATTAGAATGAAACTCCAAGAATGAATGAATTCAACAGCTCTGGCTCCCTATATACTGTAGTTTAAAGGGACACTCCAGGCACTAGTACAACTTTAATGCATTTGATAGATTTTGGCTTCATTAATATGCTATATTTTGAGCATGCCTAAAATTATAATTTTTGCACACAATAAAAAGATTAAAATATAAATATATACACACGCGCAGGTAACTTTTAGCCTTTGGTTTTTACTATATGTATTAGCTGATGTGTACTGTAGTCATTGGTGACGCCCAGGGCGGGAGGGGAAAGGAGAGAGCAAGAGAGAGTGTGTGTATAATGTGTGTGTGTATATATATATATATATATATATATATATATATATATATATATATATATATATATATATATATATATTTTTTAAAAGCTGCACAATAAGCCTGCCTCCTTTGCCTTGCCACCTCATGTCAAAAAAACACTTTCTTATCAAATGTACGCACACTGTCTCAGCACCAACACCAACTTAGTGAGCGTTTTGTTTTTAATTCACAACCGGTCTGCAAACACTCAGAGAAACTAGTGGTATGCTTACCATGTCTCCCTTGGTGTCCTCTAACGTAGGTTGCTTTGTAGTTCACGTCATGCAATAGTTTTAGTGGCTGAGCTGCAAGCATTGCAAAGAGACATGCTTATGGTGCTGCATTATTTTCCATTTTATGCTAAAACAGCATATTAGTGCAATACAGCATATTAATGAAACAAAAACCTCAAATGTATTTGTTATATTGGTGGCTGGAGTTTCAAGGTGCAGTAAGAGGATTCAGTGAAGCCTAAATTTGCTTTTCAGTACCAATATTTATGGTGTATAAACAGGAATGTGACAATTCTGCAATACATTATCTCAAGGGGGATGAGAAATGATACTGTACCTATATCCTACCTGTACTATAAACACTACAACAAGATTTAGTAGCTACGGTGTTTGATGAAATAGATGTTAAACAATGAAGAGTACAAAAGTTGCAAAGATAAACATGGAATGCCATAGGGCCTTATATCTTTTATTTTACAACAGTTTCTGTAACATGTATTTTAACAGACCAGCATTTGTAACTAGCAAAGAGACTTCCAGGTTAATGATCCATGTAAGCACTAAAGAAAGCCAATAGGTGGCAGACTGGACTGTCAATGGTAGCCTTTAATGTTTAAGATTTAGTCAGTATGCATAATGTATCCTGCATGGTTTGTCTCCCCAGTCACTGCCCGAAGGCTCTAGGAAGTTGTAGGAATATACAGGACGCTGTCTACACCAGACCATAGGGCCCGGGGACACGCATTGCTCTCCAACGTTGTGGAAGGGGAATATACATTATTGCACGGTAAAATGCTATGCTCCCATACGCCACCAGGGCAGGGCCCATGAGAGCAACCTCACGGGATGCCCACGTTGGGTTAATACAATTATAATTGGATTTGCATAAAATAGTTATCTGAAATTAAAATGCACATAAAAAAGTTGCCTAGAACTAAATACAATGTATTCACTAAAGAACAAGTTAAATAACTTTTCCATAATTTTGCAACTGTTTTTACGTGTTTTTCACAGGCTAGCGATTTTACCATGAATTGTTCAATTCACCATTTAGTGCATAAGCCAACAAAATTCCTAAATATGTATAGGGTTATTCACTAAAGTGAACTTCCTGGAATTCAAACCGAGTTTTACATTTAAGACAAAATTAACATTTCCAGTTTTACTATGTTGGCCTTACATTTGAAATTCCAACAATTCTTAGTTTAGTGGATAACCTGGTCTGGCAGATGTCAAGTAGTTCACAGAATGCACACTTAAATAGGACTGATGCTGCAGTTCATAAACAGAACAAATCCAACCAGCCTCCGGGCCATTACCCCTGCACAATTAAAGGGACACTCCAGGCGACTAAATTAATCATTGCTTAAAGTCTCAATCGGATATTGGGGATGGAGTAGCGGTGAGCCATCTTACTTTCAGGTGTAAAAATGTTTAAAAACACCATAGTGTTCTGAATACTATATTGAGATGGAAGATGTCTGGGTGCCTACAGAGTCTCTTCAAAGGCAACACCATTTGTCTGAGCGCCCAACAACTGTGCCTTCTGTCTCTGTACCACTACTTGCAAAGGATGGAAACTAATAGGCTAAGAGTGTCAGCTGTGGCACCGATTCACTAAATGAAAGGTTATTGGATGGGAGTGTATTCATTAAACCTGCAATGCCATTCTAAAACGACAAACTTATCTAGATAACAGGACTGTTTTCCTAGTGATTGTATGTAAATCAGAAAGAATGGATAAGAATGCCTTGTTTAAATAGGCAATAAACAGTTGCCAGAGACCTCCAATCAGTGGAATGCCCCATTGATCAAATAAAAAATAACTTTAACCTCATTTTTATTTTTTGCTTACGACACCGTTACTTGACAAGAGCAGTTTGTTGCAAACACTTTGTTCAACCAACCTGAGCAATGAAGACCACGTGTTTGCCACTGAACTTCTTTTCCAGCTCACGCACCAGCCTCACTTGAATCTTCTGAAAAGATTTCAGCTGAGGCACTGGAACAAAGATGATAATGGCTTTTCTTCCACCACCAACTTCAATTTCCTGTTTGGAAAAATAACAGCTTTCTCAAGACAAATAAAAAAAGTGGAACCACAAAATATAAATGGAACGGATAGGGGCCAAACTATTTTTTGCAGTCACTCCCCTCGGTGTAACATGATAAATATTACTGTCCAATGCAAGAACACTAAAGCTTACCATTTACTCCTGTAAAATCATAGCAACAATGAGATGTATCCTGCATGGTTTGTCTCCCCAGTCACTGCCCGAAGGCTCTAGGAAGTTGTAGGAATATACAGGACGCTGTCCGCACCAGTCCATAGGGCCCGGGGACATGCATGTTCTCCAACGTTGTGGAAGGGGAATATACGTTACTGCACCCTAAGATGCTACGCTCCCATACGCCACCAGGATAGAGCTCATGAGAGCAACCTCATGAGATACCCACGTTGTTCAAGAATACAGGTACTTAAGTTTTAAACATCTTGTCCTTATGAGTCCTCCTACAATGTTAAATATCAGGAAGCTTACAGAACAACGTTACAATTTCAACAGTTTAAGCGACACATAGAAAATTGCATTCTGTCCAGTGGGAAAGCAAATGCATAGTTGAGAAGTTCCTCTACTTCCTACCTCTCCTTTGCCAGCAGTTAAAACGTACGTAACATCCAAAGAGGCTGCCTTGACAGCATCAAACACTTCACACAACTGCTAGCATGTACCCACTACTGCAAGTATTTAAGCAGGGTGACTTTGCATGCAGTGCTTGTATTACACATCTTAAGTGATTCCACAAAGTACAGATTTGTGTACATAATCATATGTAGTCATGTACTCTTTTACAGCTTACCTTTGCTGCTGTAATGTTTAGTTCCCTTAATTGAGCTTTAAGGTCAGAGTTCATCTCCAACTCCAAGAGAGCCTACAATAAAATGTAAAATTTAGGAATAAGAAAATAAAATATGTAAGTTGTGCAGGCATGAAAAGCACTACAAAGAAAATAAATTATATAACCTAGACTGACAAAATAGCACTTAGAATATGATGTATCCTGCATGGTTTGTCTCCCCAGTCACTGCCCGAGGGCTCTAGGAAGTTGTAGGAATATACAGGACGCTGTCCACACCAGACCAAAGAGACCGGGGACATGCATGCTCTCCAACATTGTGGAAGGGGAATGTACGTCACAGCGCCCGAAGACACTACGCTCCCATACGCCACCTGGACAGAGCCCATGAGAGCAACCTCACGGGATGTCCATGTTGGTTTTTGTTTATAGTTCCAAGTTAAAGAAGTGGGATTGGAAGATCAAATGCTCTTTCAGTAGTATACATTTTCTAGATTTACTTTAAGGTTAGATAAGATGCAGAGATTTAAATACATTGCACAGGACGTTAAGGGAAAGAAGAAAAGATTATGCAATGCTTGCATTCTTTTTCTAACGACATAAAATGTTTTCAAGAAATGTATCTACAAATGCGTTGAAAGGAGTAGTTTGAATAATTACACTACATCTCCATGACAGTTTATAGATAAGGTAGACATATCTTGAATGCAAACCTGACCGTGATAATACATTGAAATAAAGGATATATAGTGATTAATATACTTAAATAGTGCTGGGAAAATGTCCAGAAAAAAATGCATTGCCAGATTCAGCTTTTAACTTATCCATGCTGAAATATAGGTTTACATCCACAATCCTAAGTGTGCCATCCCACTATGCCCAGGCCCAAGAGTATAACCAATGTAATTACTGTAATTGGCAGTCGATGGACATGCATACATCCACTTCCACAAATAACTTGGAAGAATAGCACATTTAATACCAGCTTGAATCTGGCCTGTCACAGTTTTGGTTGGTGACAGGCTCATCTTTCAAAGGTGACAAATTAAATTTTCAAGCTTTTGCCATTATTGCAAATATAATCAAAATGGCAACTGAATGCACCATGAACAGGCTATGAAGTGGTATTTTGTAATCAGAACTCTAATGTATCTTTAAAACCACATTAAGCTTTTTTACTCACCTGGGAGATGCCCGACTCAAACTCGTCAGGCTTTTCGCCATTAGGCTTCACGATTTTGGCGCTTGTACTGAACATGGCCTTTCTGAAAACAGAAGAGATAAGCAATACAGCATTATAAACAAATGTAGGTGCATCCTATGCAACAACTTAACTACAAAAAGCTGCAAGGAATAAAACTCCACTCAAAAGATCAGAGGTAGACTATGCTGAATTGTTAAAGGACTACTGTATATACACTGAAACCATTAAATATTGGGGCTATGTGTATTTTAATTTTCTGTATCCTGCATGGTTTTACTCCCCAGTCACTACCCAAAGGCACTGGAAAGTTGTAGGAATATACAGGACGCTGTCCACACCAGACCATAGGGCCCGGGGACACGCATTGCTCTCCAACGTTGTGGAAGGGGAATATACGTCACAGCGCCCGAAGACACTACGCTCCCATACGCCACCTGGGCAGAGCCCATGAGAGCAACCTCACAGGATACCCACGTTGGTTTGTTTCCAGTTCTACACAATTTTGGGGGGTGGGAGGGGTCTATGTGGGTTTAGTTATTATTTTATTATTTATATAGCGCAATCACATTCCATAGCGCTGTACATTGGGTGGACTAACAGACACGTCATTTTAACCAGACAATTGGATGTACAGGAACAGAGAGGTGGAGGGCCCTGCTCAATGAGCTTACATGCTAGTGGGAGTGGGGTATAGTGACACAAAGGGTACAAGTAGGGGTACGAAATAGGTTTAGTTGGATCTGCAAGATATGATAGTAAAACCAATAAATTAAAAAACTGCCTTAACAGTGCAATATTTAAATAATATTCCATTGATCAAGTAATTCAAAACTTAGTATCATTCTCAAATTTGCTTTGTCAGTTTTATTCCTATAGCAAGTAAATAAATTACATTGTTGAACATACATGCACACAGTATGGATCAATAGGGTTATATGAACATGCATTAAACACATTAGATAGGACATAGGCCTACATAAAAAAAATAAACTCACTCACCATAAGAACTACATGCTGGTCTATAAAGTATAATAAAGCCATTATATGTGGAGTTCTAAACACACGGAGCCAGAAAGTCAATCACACGTGTTTAGCCCAGGCCTCAATCTCCCAGAACTGAGAATTTCCCCCCTACAGCCTCCATCACTCGCCGGCCGCTACACACAATCTGCCTCCATCCTCCGCACAGGGAGCCCCCTATACCGAGATGTGGGTTCCCTCGGCAAGGGGAGGCTTTGTGCTACCGATCCCTTGTGCCATTTCACGGATTGACCGGAGGAATCGTTAAACAAGTCAAACAGAAAACAACCGGAGGATCAGGTCTACTCACCGTCCTCTCTCAGTGACGGCCTAGGAAGAGGGCGAGATCCCGCGAGAGCGGCCCAGATCTCGGCGAGGCGCAAAGGACGACGGGAACACGGGCCGCTTCTCGTTCAATCAGCGATCGCGTTTCTAACGTGCTGACGTCGCGGCAGGTGAGAAGCCGATACTAGTGAGGGCGGAAGTCGTAGAAGCCTGTGCTATGAATGGGGCATGGTTGAATTGCTGAAGTCGCCTGATAGGCTTGACTGTCTGTTGGCATACTTGGTCATACTTAGTCTGGCTGAGCCTTGTGGTAAATGTAGTCCATAAGGGCTGGGGTGACAGCCCTCACTGCAAGTCATGGCAGAAAACAGAACAACATCCTAACAGTACAGTTACATTATATTGTTGGATAAGCTTTCCAAATGATTTAATATTTTTGGATAAGCGTCTAAAATAACTTTTCCAACATATTAAAACATAAAAAAAAATAAGTGTGTGTGTGTATGATATATATAAACAAATATCAAAATATTACAAAATTATAATATATTTCATAGTATCCAAAAATATAAAGCTTATCCAAAAATATTAAATCGAAGCTGCAACATACATATACGTAATTCAGGTTTAACACTAAAATACAAATTGGAGCAAATTGAATTGCCAATAGCAAAATTTAGGCTAGCTGTAAATATAAATAAACCTCTAAAGAAATGTTTGCCCATATCTAAAAATATAACAAATCGCATTGTGTGATGTCTGTAATATTTTAATAATTCATCTGCAGTAGTGATGGCAAACACATTTGAACCAAAATGCCTAATCTTTAGATTGTACGCTCATTCAGGTAGGGCCCTCTGCACATACTGTTCCCTTATGTGAAACATTTTACAGAGAATGTGACGGCAGATAAGAACCATTCGGCCCATCTAGTTAGAATAAAAAGTTTCTCTTGCTTACCTTTTGTACAGTGCTCCAAAATATGTTGTTGCTATGTAAATAATTGTAAGTGTAAATCTTATGCAGAATAGGGTAACATAATTACAAGTGCAGGGACTCTTTTTCATTCAGCTTTTCCTAATCTCACTCTCATCTTTCCTCTATGGTGTGAATCCAATCCAGATAGGTGTGTTCTGGGTGGAGAATAGAATGAAACCAGACCAATTATTGCACAATGAATGTGATCTGTGTATTTGTATTTTAATATGGCTCATGCGACGTAAAACTAGCAATCAGCGTGAAAGAATGAGCTCTGAGCAGTGGACAAAGACGTATATAACCACTAAGGCCTCAATTTAATATTTTTAGATAAGATTTTTAAAATTATTTCATATTTTGGATGAACTTTTATATTTATTTACTATTATGAAAAATACTTTAATAGTTTGATAATTTTTGCTATATTGATATAATTTATTCATTTATGATTCATTTTTAAAACATTTTAAAAGCTTATCCAAAAATATTAAATTAAGGTCAATATTTATTATAATAAATGCCTTTCTATAGAAAGCATTGTGGACCAGAATGGTGATTGCCACACATGCACTTTGCTTCACAATGCTTCCCAATGAGAAGCATTGTAACAACCTGGTGTTTATCAGAATTGATAAACTCGTGACAGACGGAGCAGTGCTGCAGCAAGGTAGATCCTCTTACTTTGGAATTAGAAGTAAAGCGCCCCAAGATACTCCTTAAAACGCCGGTTTTGTAAATACATGTATTTACAGTTGTGCTCAAAAGTTTGCTTACCCTGGCATAAATTGTGAAATTTTGGCATTGATTTTGAAAATATGACTGATCATGCAATAAAATGTCTGTTATTGAAGGATAGTGGTCATATGAAGCTATTTATTATCAGAAAATACTGGCAGACAATTTGCATTCTTCTGCATGAAGGCTTCCAGCATGACAAAGACCATAAGCACAAGGCCAAGTTATCCCTCCAGTGGTTACAGCAATAAAAGGTGAAGGTTCTGTAGTGACCAACACAATCTCCTGACCTAAATATCATTGAGCCACTCTGAGGAGATCTGAAATGTGCAGTTCATGCAAGACGACCTAAGACTTTGCATGACCTGGAGGCATTTTTTTCAAAACGAATGGGCAGCTATACCACCTGCAAGAATTAGGAGCCTCATAGACAACTATTAAGCCGGTGCTTACTATAAGGCTGCAGCTGCCTGAGCACTCTATAGGGAGCCTCAGGTGGCTGCAGCATTCCTCTCTCATCACCTTCCCTTCCCTGTAGCGTGGCCGAGCTCCTCTTCCTCCTGGCTGTCAGTCCGGCCGGGTACCGCGCGGTACAGGAGATTCAGTTTCCTGTTCCCGGCCGGACTGACAGGAAGTGCACACTGAGTGACTATAGTGTTCTTTTAAGAATTGTATTTTTGTCATTGGAAAAAACTGCTAACCTTTTTAGCTGGCTAATAGATTGAAAGCAAATTTGTCAAGCCCTGTCCTAAATTAATATTGGTAGCCTACCTATTTTGATTATCTCACCCCAAAACTAAAAAAAATACTGGTTATACTCACCTTTAGTCCCCCAGTGCACCAGTCTTGCCACAACCTCCTGTCTTTTCAGCTGCGGTCATCATTCCTGATGATCTCAGCTAATCCAAAGCTTCCTCATAGGGAAGCATTTGGAGGATACTGAGCATGTGCAGTAATATGCTGCATTTCCTCTTAGAGATGCATTGAGTCATTGAGAAGCATTGCATTCAGTGCCTCAATACAGAGCATGGAGATACTCCACTTCGGTCCTGCAAAAACATTAAAGGGACACTATAGTCACCCAGACCACTTCAGCTCAATGAAGTGGTCTGGGTGCCAGGTCCCTCTAGGGTTAACCCTTCCTGATGTAAACATAGCAGTTTCAGAGAAACTGCTATGTTTACATTTGGGATTAAGCCAGCCTCTAGTGGCTGTCTTCTGGCCAAGTGTGTGTCATATGTTTGAATGTGTGTCAATATGTCTGCCAGTATATATTTGTGTCAGTGTGTATCTGTGAATGTTTTACTATGTCTGTGTGTGTGTGTGTGTGTCAGTATGTTTGCCTGTGTGTGTCAGCATGTCTGTGTGTTTGTCAGTATGTCTGCCTGTATGTGTGTCAGTATGCCTGTGTGTGTGTGTGTGTGTGTGTGTGTGTGTGTGTGAATACGTCTGTCAGTGTATGTGTCTGTGTGTGTCAGTATATCTGTCAGTGTATGTGTCTGTGTGTGTCAGTATGTCTGAATGTATGTCTGCCCGTATATATTTGTGTGTCAGTGTGTATCTGTGAATGTTTTAGTATGTCTGTGTGTCAGTATGTCTGTGTGTCAGTATGTCTGCCTGTATGTGTGTCAGTATGCCAGTGTGCATTCTACTGAGGGTAGAACATACATTGAATTCTGCACTGACAAAGAGGATAATAAAATTTAGGTCAGATGTCTGAGTATATCTCTTCCTAAGATTCCTAACAAGGATAATAAAGTGGAAGATGTTCTTGATAACTAATGTGATTCTGTGTTTGATCTAGAGGAGAAATTACACCTTTGGTCAGTTAAATGAGCTCTTATATAGCATGTATCAGATTTTTTTGGACACAGGAAAAGGAACAAGGACACTAGAGAAATATGTTGACAGCAGAATGCTACAGTCATACCAAGGAAAATTTGAAAAACCCTGACACAGAACCTAAAATTGCCCACTTCCATAATAAAGCTGGATGATCTGTATGGAAAGTATAACATTTTATACAAGGTAAGTTGGTCAATTAACAGCAAATGGTGGAAAAAGCAATTTGTTTGATCCAAAGTGTGGTATGCCTTTCAGGCAGCACAAAGAGGTTCATATCAGCTACACCATGGGTTGTCAATCTGGTCCCTACTGCCCACTAGTGGGCGGTTTGGGATTTCAGGTGGGCGGTGGTGGATTCTGCAGAAAACGCCAGGGGGGCCTTGATGGCCATGGAACAAGGCCGGCAGAGGAGTTTCTTTCATCTCCCCTGCCGGCTTATGCAGAGCCAGCCTTTCTGTAAGTCCTTTGGGTTGGTGAGGAGATTAAAGATCTTCCTCACCAGCCCGCTGGCTCTCAGTTCCAGCAGAGAGAGGGAAGGGCCTGGGAGGCTCTGTGTTCCTCCTGCAAGCAGGCTGGTCAGAGCGTTGCCACGTGTTATCTGCAGGCAAAGTGAACATGCAACCACTTGACAACCAGGGCTTGCAGCATTATGTCCCCCCTTCCTGGTAAAAGATAAGAAGAAGGCAGGGGGAGATAAGATAGATTTTCACATCTCACCCACCTACACACAACATAGACCCTATGCACCCTTCACACATACTACACCCCTCACACACACACAGCTCAATCACACACACTACACCCCTCACACACACACACACTCCCCCTGAAACACACACACTGCACCCCTCACACACACACACAGAGTGCCCACCTTACACACACTGCACCCTACACACTATCTTACACTGCATCCATCACACACACTGCACCCTTCACACACACACACACAACACCCTTTACACACACATCATCTCTAACAAACACACTGCACTCCTCACGCACTCTGCACCTCAACACACACAGTGCACCTCTCACACACACTGTCCCCTCCACACACACACTGCACCCTTCACACACACACGCTGCCACCCTCACACACAGCACCCTTCACACACACACACTGGCACCCTCACGCACAGAACCCTTCACACACACACATCTCACACACACACAGCACTCTTTACACATAAACAAACACATAGCACCCTTCACACACACATGGAAAAAAGTAGAATATAAAACAGGAAAAAAAAAGAAATAGATACATTTAAGTACATTTTTATTTTCTGTTAAAAACCTCTCCTATCTAGAAAGAAAAAAATCACACATAAAATTAGTTACTGTGGCACTGGTGGGCAGTAAGGACATTTTACCATCAACATAGATACAAAAGTGGGCGGTAGGTATTAAAAGGTTGACTACCCCTGAGCTACACAATGAAAGACAAGTCTGTTTAGGATTGAGTCTAAATTTTAGAATGTCTCTTTCTGAGCCTAGAAATGCAGTAAAAAGTTTAATTTTCAGACATATTTTTTTCTTTTATTAAAGAACTATGAAGTTATGTTTCTGCCTTTGCAAGGGATTTTGGTAGCCCTGGCAGAGGAAGTGGCTATCTTCCC